AACTTAGTAAGTTAACCTCAACCAATTTGGATTTTCTACTGAGAAATTTGTAAAATAGCATATTCCAATTTTCATCATTGAGTGTTCAGAAGAAACCGCCTAAGTCCTATGGCAAGTCACAATGAGATGTCTATAACAACTCACAATCAAAAGCATACCTTAGACCCACGAGAGTGCCTTACTTTTATAGCCAGTAATGCCCTCGTCCTTAGAAGTCTTACTTCATAGGATTCTATCATTTATAAGGATATCAATTATCCAAGACTCTTCCTATTTAGATTAAGACCAACTCCCTCAAAAGTCCAATCTTACCCAAACAGAGAGTCTGTCATCATCTAGAACTCTACTCCCTCATTCAAGTGTCTCAGATTCAAATGTGGTTTGACCACACCTCGGCCAATCAGAATAACCCACGAGGCACCTCGACCAACCACCTAGGCCACGTGGACAACTCAAAATTATGTCCCCACAACTGCCCCGTGGGTTCTATTACCTCGGCAACCTGAGATGATGAAATCTATATCGTCTAATCTTCCAATATATTGGCTAAACAACATGTTAGAGATACTCAGCCAACCGAGATCATGATTCGTCGGCTTCATGAAATAAGGACTCAAATGTCCACTCATCAAAAACAAAAAACAAGAATCAAGAATCAATATGATCCTTCATATCCTCCTTGTCATATGTTGGCCATCTATTCCTATTAAATTCTCACAGATGGTGCTAAATTGTGGGTGTTGATTTTTGACCTCACAACCAAACTAGATCTCTTTACCAAGATCTAAGAAACTTAGCCGTAGAGCACACGAAAGAATAGAAGAGCCCAACACTTGCACACAAGGAGACAACAAACACCAAGATGACTTGTCCACCCAAAGACACTCCGATGATCAAATCAATTAACTCATCTTACAAGATATCAATTTGAGTAAACAACTCACAATCAAAAGCATACTTTAGACCCACGGGGGTGCCTTACTTTTATAGCCAACCCTCATCCCCTAGTAGTCTTACTTTATAAAACTCTATCATTTACAAGGATATCAATTATCTAAGATCAACTCTCTCAAGAGTTTAACGTTATCCAAACAGAGAATCTGTCATAATCTAGGACTCTAGTCTCTCATTCGAACATCTCGGATTCAGATGTGGTTTGACCACATCTCGGCCATTCGAAATCACCTACATGGCACCTCGGCTAAGTACCTAGACCACGTGGACAACTCAAAATTTTGTCTCTACAATTAATTTTGGAGTATTACATAAATAAAGTCTCATAGTACTCTAGAACTATTGAATAATTACTCATTGTATATGGAACATTACTGACATTCAAGAGTTGGCAAGCAGGCTAAAATTAATGATATAGACTGTTAATAAAGGAGGAATTTTATTTAGGGAGACTTATGTGTAAGTTCTACTAAGTAGACTAATTGTCCAATAGGTCTCATGATAATTAATGACATTTTTTATCGTACACTATTAAAAATGTCACAAATTGTTAATTTTCAGTGACAATTTAAAAAATGCCACAAAAAGTGTCACTAATTATAAGTTTTAGCGACAGTTTAAAAAAATCTTCACAAAAAAATATCACTAATTTTTAACTTTATTTGTCACAGAAAACATCACTAATTGTAAGTTTTAGAGACAATTCATAAAATCATGACAAAAAAAAAGTCACTAATTGTTAATTTTAGCGACATATGTAAAAAAATTATCACAAAAAATTATTTTTAGTGACGATTATATTAAGACTTATTTTCAATAAGACTTTGTGGGAATTAAGTAAAACTATTAAGACTTATTAGTGGTTTACCCTTTGATTTACATAAAATACTAGTGTTCCACCCGTGCTATGCACAGGTTGTGTTTACAATTATTTATATATATAAATATCACTACAACAAAATGCACTTTTGGCGACTAAAAAAATTTAGTCGCCAAAAGTTGTGGAATTGGCGACCAAAAATAATATTAGTCGGCAAAAGTCAAATATTTAGCTACTAATTTTTTTGGTCAAGGAATATTAATTATTGGCAACTAAAAAAAAATTTAGTAGCTAAAAATATCATATTTGCAGACTAAAAAAATTTTTAGTAGCCATATAGCTACTTTTGGCTACCAAAATTGTTTAGTAGCCGAATGAAAGGAAAAAAATTATATTTTATATTTGTTTGGTCGCCAAAAGTATATTTTCAGCGACAAAAGAATATTTTAGTAGCCATATAGTTAGTTTTAGCTACTAAAAATTGTTTAATAGCCGAATGAAAAGAAAAAAATTTATTTTTTTATCTTTGGCGACCAAAAGTTTGGTCGCCAAAAATATATTTTCAACGACAAAAGAATATTTTAGTCGCCAAAAAACTAAAATATTTGGAGGGATTAAAAAAGTAATTAGCGACTACGAATTGTTATTAATTATATATATTTTTTGTTTTCAACCCAAACCATAACAAACCAACAATTCTCTCTCTCTCTCTCTCTCTCTCTCTCTCTCTCTCTCTCTCTCTCAATTTCACAAAAACATGACTCTGTTTTCCTGTGTTGGTGAGCTAACTAATATTTTTTATTTATGCTCACCAAGTGTATGTAAAAATGTCATAGAGAGGTTTTGAGGACTGGTTTGTAAGATTGACTCATTATGGAATTTGGTAAATATTGTGGCGAATACCATTTGTGCAATTTACTAAATTAATAGTTCACATGTTGGTTTTTGTGGCCTTGCTAAATTTTCTGGGATTTTCAAGATTTTGTCACCTATGTGAATGCAAAGTGGGGTCGTTCTTTAAGAAGTGGTAAGACCGAATTCTTTAAAAACACTCACTGAACCAGGCTAGTGTTCCAGGGCCATACCGGACACATCAGTGAGAACAAGAACGATGGTTGGACTAGCTCCTGTGTGAGGTCTATTATCTCGGTTTACACAAACGGAAGAACAGTTCAAGACATCACGTTCATTGGTCAGCCAGTAAATCCGATAGGCTTTCACTACGAAAAGTTTAAGGCCAACAGTTGCCTTTTCTGATATAGGGTTAGTCTGAGTGCTCTCTCTCCAAGTCTTTGTTGTAAACGTTGTTCGTTTTCTTTATTCAATCAATTTTTATTCATGTGGGAGATTATTGGAAAAAAATAAATTTTTGGTGACTTTAATGTGAAATTAAAGTAGGTCCCAACCATTGGTTGAGGGGGATTAAATAGGTTTAGATTCTTTGTAACAAGATCTTTACACCACAAAAAGAATGTCAAAAAACTATTAAGATTTGAATGAAAAATTAACTCATTAAATTGGCCTCATGAAAGAGGTATTGGGAAAGGTGGTTGCAGGATTATACACAATATACATGTGTATTAAACCTGGTAACTCTTTTGTATTCATGATAGATTAAAGCCATCAATTTTGCAATTTATGTCTGGGGAGTTTTGCAAAATTAAAACTTGCATTTGTTGCAGGAGCCTTTTCCTTTCTCCCTCCATGTACATAAAAAGAAACCCTCTCCTTCATTCTTTGACACCAAAAAGTTTGCTCTCCCTTTGTGTTCAATGTTTCCTCTAGAAATTTTTATTCTTTCTGTGTAAGAGGTTACTGCCATTGCCAGATCACTAAAACTAACAAAAGGTGCTTCTGCGTTAGCCTACTTAAACCGTCGTATCCTGAGAGATAAAAGTTGAAGTACCTCCAGCACCCACGATGAGGCGGCTAATCTGTTTTAAAGAGACTGTAGTACCACATAGGTTTCAGTTTGTTTTCTTTACCATTTTATCGTATTATGTATTTCTATGAAATATGGTTGTAATATTCAACATGATTTTCTTATTCTGTAACGTAATTGATGAATCATGAATCTATTTATCTTGTTTAATTTACATAATTTGTCCAACAATTTGTACCCAAAAAAAAAAAATAAATCCAATAACTATATCTCATAACTTGAAATTTACATTTCCCTTTTTGACAAAATTCATATCTGGATTTATATTTTCGACACCTTTCAAATAAGATGAATATTAAATATAAATTTTCAATTTTTTTTTTAAATTTTTGATTAATCAAAAGAGCGAAATGATTTTTCCTTTTTTTTATGAAAATAAATGTTCAAAATTGACTTTGACAATTTTATATGGATAGATCTATTGAAGTTTTAGCACCATAAATAAAAAAAAATTACACCTTCATATAACAATCTGTTAAAATTATCTTAATTTATGTTTACCAATATGTTTGCTTGTGCAAAATTTTAAAACTATTTATTTTCATATATGAACCTATATGTACAAATTATTGTAACAATCACATCTAAATATTAGCACATGAATCTCAAACAAATAGCCCGGCAACACCTAGGCAAAAACAGAACCACAAGAAAATAAAAACTCACAGATGTCCGATATTAAGAATCAAGTCTCATCTGTTATATAATGTATGTAACTTCTCTTATCTCTATTCCTTTACTGATTATTATACAAAATCAAAACTCACGACATAGTGAAATACAACTAGGTTAATTTCAGTTTTTTTTGTTTAATTAGTAAAATAAAAATTTTATTGATAAGAATCTAATATACAAAATATACTTAGGCATATATTAATAAAGAAAAGGCCAGTACGTGATAGAGCTGCAAACGAATTGAGTTGAGCCGAGCTTTATTGAGCTCGAGCTTGGCTCATTTACTTATTGAGCACATTTATTGAGCTCGAGCTCAGCTCGATAAGGAACTGGACTTGAGCTCGGCTCGGCTCGATAATTTTTTTAAATATCATTTATATTATTTAAATAAAAAAATATTTTTTATATTATATAATATATAAATAATATATTTATTATATAATTTAAACAAAAGAAAAATGAGCCTAGCTTATGCGAGCTCGAGCTCGGCTCGTTTACTAAACGAACTAAGCCGAGCCGAGCCCTTAACGAGCTGAGCCGAACTTTTTCATGAACAATTCGGTTCATTTGCAACCCTAGTATGTGAAGCATCATACTGACCTATCCCAACTATATTGACACAGAAAAGTAATAGGGTTGCACAACTGATTTGATTTTGAGCATAGAGGTAATCTTAATGGGCTCTACAACATGTGAATCCCCATTAGGCCCCAGAGTAATTCTCCAAAGCTCCACCTTGAACCTTTCCATAGCAGCCACAGGCAAACATATAGGCACCACAATCCTATCCTCTCCATCACCATTCCTAAACAATACATAGGGGCTACTAAAAGATGTGCCACCAACAGGACCACCATATACAGTCTTCTCCCACCCAAAATCAACCTCTCCAAAACCAGCACATGTCGTGTCGGAAACAATGAAATTCCATGATCTTGAATATGGAGGTCGTCCCTTGACCACCAAGAAATCTGCCACTGACCTTATGTATTTTTCGGTCACAAGAGCCTCGGCTTTTTTAACCAATTCTGCTGCATATTTTAGTGGATTTTTACACAGTATTTCAGCGTTTGAAATTGTCGCTGGAGAGACAGATGATTTGCCATAGCAACCAGGAGGCAAGTTCAGGCCAGGCTTCCCTCGCACATCGACCATGAATGTCACCCAAACAGTCTCATTGGGATCAATTTGGAGTGCAATTGTGCGACACCTGTTGGTGCAAAATTGGTAAATATGACGAGCCACATAAATAAATGAACAATATATCCACCCCTAGAACAAGCCATACTAAAAAAGGCAAGTAGATTCCTAGCTAACTTAGACATCACCCATTGTACGCCAAAGATAGCAATATCTCAAGTAATATTACATAATAAAGTTATTTGTAAAGGTGTTTGTGCTTCATCTTTTTCCATGGAGAAATGAGGACGGATTCTGGTATTGAGTCAGAGAGGTAGAAGAGGAGGATGGAGAAATGAAGCTAATACAAGATTTTTCACAATTTTTATCGATGATCTACCCTGATCTATGAACTTGAAGATGTTAGTTGACATATTCAGGAAGTTTAGAGTGGTGAAGGATGTCTACATCTCTCTAAAGAGAAGGAAAGTGAGGAACACTAGATTTGCTTTTGTCCGGTATGATTGTGAAGTGGCAACAGAAGTAGCAGTGCAAAAAGCTCATGGGATATGTGTGGAGGATAAGCAATTGGTAGTAAAGCATGCAGACTATGGCAAGAAAGCTATGGAAGTCAAAGCCCAATATCATCCTCAAACAAAAGGCTTTCTACATAGTGGAAGGGGTGAATGCGGTGTGTGGAAGCCAGCAGCAGGTGTTCAAACGTATGCAGAGGTCATTAAGAACACTAATGATATGGAAAGGGGAATTGTGTCAGTCCAAGCAGAGGAGATAGGAAATGGGTGGCTTTATGAAAGTGTGGTGCTCCGTCTTAAAGTTGAATATGCCAATGTAAAGCTTAAAAATGAATTACAAAAGAGGGGCATGGAGAATGTTCTAGTGAGGGATGGAGAGGGTAGGGACGTGTTGTTAACATTCAAATCTAAGGAATGTAGGGACGCTAGTTTGGGAGCTGTGAAGGAGTGGTTAGAGGATTGGTGTGTGGAAATTGTGGTGTGGAATCCTGATCTTCACAGAGTGTGTGAACGGAAGGTGTGGGTATGCTGCTATGGGATCCCATGGAATCTATGGAATAGAACAACCTTAAATAGAATTGGTAATATTTTGAGGCAGGTTATTTGTATTAAAGGTGATGTTTGCAACCTAGAATCGTTTGAATATGCAAGAATTCAAATTCTAACAAAGTGTATGGAGCCAATCAGTGAAGTCATTAATCTGGAGTGCAAAGGATCTTCCCATACTGTGAGAGTGTGGGAACAATTATCTAGGTTACCAAATATATTGGCAGGAAGGAGTGACTGTTCTATGGAGTATGGTGGGGAAGGAGTGTGCAGCTCAAATAATGGTGAGAAGGTTGGTGTAGGGGTAATGACAAGTGATGTGGCTGTAGAAGATGATGACTGGGATGGTGAGTCAGCTAGGGAGTTGGGCCATACTAAGGATATGTGTATAGGGGATGGGTCAGGTAGAGTGAGGTGTAGTGATGAGGTGGAGATGGAGTTACCAAGGCGATCTGAAACAGTGGTGGCAGAATCTGCTGGTAATGAGCTCGAGGGGAAAACATATAGTATCATGAAAGTAACTGGGAGCATAGGCAACGGTTGTGAGTTGGTAGGTTAGAAAAGCAACGAGCAGGTTGTCACGCATGGTGTTGTCAAAAGCTTGATTAGCTCTAGTCTGCTTAAACTGGGGGCCCATCTAGAGGTGGAACTGGGTCAGAGCAATGAGGTGGGCCTATGTAATGGGCTTGTGGATATGAGGGCAATGGTGGAGATACACACCCAGGGCTTCAAGGCTGGTCTTCAGTGTGGGCTTCAAGATGTAGTGAGTCCTGTAATGATATGTTCAAACCTATCACAAACACAACGTAACGACTTAAGCTCAAGGAAGAAGCACCAAAAGAATAAAGGGAGGAAGAGAGTAGTTAGTAAATCTAGTGGGAAGAAATCAAAGAGATGAAGCAGGGTTATCTTCAGCTTCCAAAAAGATATAATCACAAAAGAGTATCCTCTAGTAAATTGGGTCCGAAAGGGATTTTATGGAGAGCAGCAGCTGTGGCAGCATCTGGTTCAGAATCAACTGCTAGTGGAGTAACTAGAAGCAGATCTCTACTTAAAAAGGCTTAGGAAACTATTCAGATGGGAAAGTTGCTGGGAATAAATTTCAAAGGCAAAGAAGAGGAAGCGTTGGCCAAAATTATGGACCTTGAGCCAAATGATAGAGCAAGAAGGGGAGGGGATTTAGTTCCTGCAGCTTCAAATAGCTTTTGGGGGTTAAAGTTTAGTGTATATAGAAATGATAAAGCTACTAACATGGAATGTGAGAGGTTTGGGGAGAAATAAAAAAATGAGCAAAATAAAGAGGATGTTGAAAAATAGGGGTATTGATATTGTTCTTTTTCAGGAAACAAAGAAGGCTTCTATGTCAGAAAAGGAGATCAAAGAGCTTTGGGCCAGGAATAGAATGGATTTTATGACTGTGGATGCCAATGGCTTTGCTAGTGGCCTATTATGCATTTAGGATACAGGAGTATTTCATGTGTCAAGTTGCTTCTGTAATAGAAGGTTTATCCTTCTCTCTGGGTCCTTATTCTTCTCTTTTGATTGTGTCTTGATCAATGTGTATGCACCAAATGAAGTGGGCCTAAGAGGTAAACTGTGGGAGTGCCTTCTGAAGTTAAGGGAGGAGTATTCTAATCCCTGGTATATAGGGGGGATTTTAATGAAATTAGAAATATTGGTGAGAGGAAAGGCTGTTCTATGAGGGATAAGGAGATGAAGGATTTGAATGATTTTATTGATAAAAGTGAGTTGAATGATTTGCCCTTATTAGGCAGGAGGTTCACATGGTGTAATGCCAGGGAAGGGGAGAAATGGAGCAGAATCGACAGGGTTATGGTGGATCCAAGTTGGGTGGTATCTTTCAATTTGAAGTTATGGGGGCTTTCTAGAGTGATGTCTGATCATAGTCCTTTACTGTTAATGGAAGATGAGAGAGATTGGGGCCCCAAACCCTTTAGGTTTGTTAATGCTTGGACTTTACATCCAAAATTCCTACCTTTTGTGGAAAAGTGGTAGATGAAGCATCAGGTGGAGGGATGGGCTGGGTTTAGGGTATTCCAAAAGCTAAAAGAGTTAAAAATAGCACTTAAACAGTGGAACAGTGAAGTTTTTGGCAATGTAAATACTAAGCTGAAGAAGGTAGAGGATGAACTGCATATGTTTGATTTGTTAGCAAAGGAAAGAGAGCTTGAAGAGGCAGAAAAAACAAGAAGAAGAGAGGTGTAGACACCCCATTTTTGACCGACCTTGAGACTCAGACGTCACCAGTTGAGCACTTGGTGATATTGCATGTTGCGCTTGTTCAGAAGTCTTAGAGTCGCGGCTGCGAGCCCTGCCTCTAGACTTCCGAACCCTCTTCTGTGCCTTGCCTCGGTTTGCGAACCAGACTCGGTTTTCCCTTTTTCTTTTCCTGAGGGGAAGGAGAGGTTCCGTAGACCATCTCTTAGTGGCCGTGGGCTACATTTTGTGGCCGCAGGCCATTTTGCCCATTTCGGAGTCCGGTTTTCGGTTTTTCGGGATCGTTGGCCATGTGCCCCGGTTCGGACCGCTTAACCATCTCCATTTGCTCTGATTTTTGGCATACATCTTATTTTCTCCCTTTTGAGGGATACTGGGGTCTGAGAAACCCACTTCGTGGCCGAACGCCACTTTCGGTGTTTAACGGGCAGTTTCCGGGGCCCCGAACTGCGTGTTTTGGCCCCCGAACATTCGTTTTGCATCGATTTTCTTTCGTTTTTGGCAGGTACCTCTGTTTCATCACTAGGAAGGTCATGGAAGGGTGGGAGGCCAGCAATTGTTTCAACAACCAGTTCTTTACTCCTCCGGCGCCCTCCGACACCCGTTTTTCGCACTTCCGGGCCAATGTTGAACACCTTGGAGCCATTTTCTTCAAACCCAAACCACATATTTGTGATGTACACACAGGGGAGGACCCTAAAAGTTCATGGCCGGCCACTAATGCTCCTT